GATGCGACTCGATATTTTGGAAAGCGTCATACCTGAGCTAAACGAATTATCAGAAATTGAAGTTTTTGTCAATTTTTAAAGACAGAAACCTCACTATCGTTTCAACATTAACTTTGTACAAGATTAGAGTTCAAAATTTTGTTGAATTTTAAATAAACCTACGGAAATGTCTGGAAAGGTCATATTTTTAAAGCGACAACTCTTAAGTGAGACCTATTTTCCGAATTTTTTATATCACAATGGATGACATTTTCTTTGTGTCTTTAGGGGTTTCACTTATGTTTGTCAACGGAATACAAGTAAATAATGTCACTCTTTTGTATAGCTTGTGGTCTACGTTTTTTTCAGACTCAGTTCATTCCATTTGAATTAATATTAATATAACAGATTTTTTAAAGATTAAAGCAATTTATGGAACTGCCTGTCGCACAGCTTTGAAACTTTTATTACTTATAAGCTATAAATCTTTGGTAAAATCTGCTTCTGTTATAATATAAATGTGTATTTTTTACAAAAGTTACGACATCAATATAGGTATAACTAGAATACAAACCAAACAGTAAACAGAGTAAACAAATACAGGCCTTCGCAAGAAGACGGAATCAAATCTAGCAGTATAACAATGTTTGCTAAGCGTGCGCGGAATAAGAAAGAACAAATAGGACACCGGCGTTTATCTACGAGTATAAATCGAAGCAGCGGAATTAGAAGAAAATACTAAGAGAAACTAATAACTAGGATAATCGACCCAAATTTCTTATAACTTAGTTTTGTTCATTATTATTTAAAGTAAAATAAAGCCTGATGAAACCCAGAATAAACTTTAGCAAATAATGATAAGTGTGATTAACAAGAGGAATTCGTTTAAGCTTTATTACAGCGGGCGGTTTTATGAGTTTACCGCAGAGTTGGAATTTTAATTTATTTTGAAATAGTTAAAACATTATTAGATACAATAAAAACAATACGAAAAAATCTTGGAAAAAATAATTATCCCGGCGCATCCACCAATTTTTATTTATAATTAATTGTTTCAAGTACTAGCTCACTGAGTTATAACATCATTTTTGTTTTACATATTTTTTTATTTTTTTTAAACTTTTATACAGAATAAAGAATTTTGCACAGCGTGAAGTATTACGGTTTATCGATTATTTTAAAGATAGTTGCATGTTTTCAGTTTAAACACAAAACATATATTTTTGTCATTATTGCACAATCTTAACAATACTATGTGGTATTTAAACTTAATTTCATAATGTTAATGTGCTATTAAAACTACAACTTTGTATTGTTCTGTTTCTGTTTGGTAAAAACCGAGATTATTAAGTGTCAGAGATAATAAGTAGACCAACAACCAACACGTATAGCCTCTTCTTGGGTCAGGCCACACCGAGATTTATTACGATATAATTAAAAATGTAATTATAGTTACTTACTCTACGAGTTTGAGTGTGAATCGGACGCATTATTTCACCGAGTGGATTTTTAAACCACGAGTGGAACGAGTGGTTTATCATCCACGAGATGGAATAAAGCGTCCGATTTACACTCAAACGAGTTGAATACAAAATTTTATTCTTCGAATTAGACTCAACAAGCCTTAAACTTGCTTTAAATCTGTTAAAAATAATCTGACGTTTCGTACTGAGAAATGCCAAACAGTTGGTAAAACTTCCTTACATGGGAGAAAAACCGTAAATTTTGACAGTGTCGAAGAATTAAAAAAACAGTCAAATAACTAAAGATAATAAATCAAAAAATAATGAGAAAAAAATTAAGTATCTGAAATGGTTTTGAATTAAATATTTGATGAAGTAATCAACGACGATTTGCCTCTTGATCCTGAAAAAAATATGTCAAAGTACCAGCTCTAGGCAATTAAAATTCTGGGCTCATCGTAGCCATGCGGGAAGCAAAATGCGGTTCTGCGAATTTGTATTCGTCGTGTTTGTCACATTTGAAATGTAAATGTACTCTCTTACCGTTTTTCCTCTGGACGAAAACACGTAATCAGCACGATAAAAATGCTGACAATGACTTTCGAGCCAAAGAAAATTCTCCGAATCCCACCTAATATAAGAAAAATTCGCCCTAAATTTAAACTAGCGTTCCAATGTAGGTGAAAATCACCAAATTCTTTCGCAAGTTTTATTTGTGCAGCTGCTACCCCTTGACTTTCACACGATTGACTTAACCCGACGTTTAGATCGAGTGTATTTTTCTTCAAGCGATTTTGTCGAGAAAAATTCAAGTTTTTACATTGGAAGTGAGATTAGGTTAGTGACAACAAAATAAAAAGAAACGAACGAAAAAGCTTAGTACTGAAAGTTTCTTGGATAGATACCTAATTGAGTTTCCAAGCACAAGACGCTCACAGAACATACGAAAGGAAAGTTTGGTTTAACTAATTTTTCTTCATCTTAACCTTAACATTTACTTTGAATTTATACTAACAGTTGAAAAGAATTCAGCTTAAATTACAAACCCTAAACAAAAATACATTTTCACACAACAGCAACTGTTTTACAGCGTTTATTTTTCCTTGGGGGATCTGCTGGCTATATCCATATATCACCGGCTTCATAAAATGGTGAAAAATGGGTGCTCACCCGCATATTGGCGATAACTGTAAAAAACGACGTTATGACGTTTCAGGGGATAATATCTCAACTAAAGAAAACTGTGAATTTTTTAGCAAATTTAATACCTAAAAAAATTCTTTAATACTTTTGTTGGAGACGCTGATTTTTGATTTTTGTTTACCTACACGTTCAATCTGAACCACCATCTTTTACAAGAAAACCGAAATTAAAATGTTCAGGAACTCATTTTCGTAGTAAATTGTCCTGAAAAATTATACCTTTTCTCGAGAGACAATTTTAAAACACACGGGTTTAGACATCAATAAATGATGTTTTATTTGAAACATTTGAGAGAGAAGAGTCGGATTACATGCTACATTACCATTCTCTCAAAGGTCGAAATATCAGCTATGACCCTTCTAAAACTCAGTGTCAAGTGACCCTTTTCCAAAGTTACACTTTCTGTCCAAACAGAACTTTAAGATGGGTGGAAGGGCAAAGTTTATAATAACGTCTGAGTATTAATAAGAGGAAAAATAAAGGAAGTTGTTTGGTTGGTAATGTGACCTAAAAGTTTTGTTTGGAAGCGATCTTAGTTGGGAAGTTGCTTCAAAGGATGTTAATAGACTGTGGCTTTATTAACTAGAGTCTTGCGAAAACATATTTGCTAAATATTTATTCAATTAGTGAACATATTTAATTTAAGTAAACATAACTCTATTTTTTTAATATAAGTTAAAATATATAAACTTTTGTAGTTAATAATGTAGAAAGTAAAGTTTCGTATGCCGGATACATCCTATAATAAAACTTTTGACAGGTTAGATTAATATTTTTGTGGAACAAAGGATACTTTTACACTTTTTTCTTTTGGAAAATTATGAGCAAAAATATAAATTGGCGTTTTATGAGAGGAACTCAATTGTGTAAAGTTTTAATGCGCGATTAAACTTTACTCAACAAAATTTTAAAATTTACGCTATTTTAAATAAATTTTCTGCAATATAATTTCAGCTTCCATAATATTAATTTCGGACTCCGGACATAATTCATGTTTAAACTGGCCTCGGGCATTTCAAGTCTAGGTTCTCCATTGCTTGGTTGGTTTAATTTTTCTGTCATCCTAGACCGGATGGTACTATACATATACAGACGAAATTAATTTAAACTTGTGGTTTTAGTTTTGTAATTAGCATATGTCTGTGGATTGTACAATTTTTGTTATTAATTTGTCTTAAAATTATTTCCGAACCTCCAGATGTTAGCGTTTTTAGGTAAACAACAGTTGTTTCTAAATCGTTAGCGTTTTCTTGATTCGCCCCTTAATTCTTTGCCGATTAATTAATAGGCCTGCTGACGCGAAGAAGTTTTTATAAAAGTATTAATTATAAAGCAATTACCAGTTTCTCGAGGCGTTAATTATAGTAATCACAATCCGTGCTATTATTTGATTAATATTTTCTTTAACTGGCTGATTGCTAATAAACCGTAGGGCAATTTTTCTTTGAACCGTGATCCATGGTATACTTAATTACACAACTTGTGAATAAATTTAATGCTGAGAGATTTGGGACTTGGGTCATTCTCATCACGTAATTTCGTAATAGGATTTCAAGGAGTCATCAGGATTACGCCTGCAATAGTCACAGTTTATTGCTATCGAATCAGTGACCGAGAAGTTCATTTTGATAATTCGGTTTGGAAGAATTGGACCGTCTTCAAATAGAAGTTTGTTTAAATAAGTTATCAAAAACTGCCTTTTTAAACTTTCAATCGCCGATAGTGTGAATTGTGAAAAAAAACTTTGTTTACTTTAAAAGTTAATAAAACAGGCATCTCTTTAATAACAGACCATTGATTTTTTGCTTAAATTTTAATATACTTAACCAAATATTTATTTGAAGACGGGATTGAAAACTCTGCGCATCAACGAATTCTGTATAAAACATCATGAACAAACATTTCCACTTTACTTACGCTTTATTTGTTAAAATGTTTTCACAGCATAAGCAAACAACTGAATTTTGAGTTCAAAATAAAAATTTTAATTTCAAAGATTGTATTTTGGTCTTCGAAGCAGAAATAAATCAACATACCTACTAAAAATGTAATTTCCATTCGGTTACTTATTTTTTAACGTCATTTATTGATGTCTGTCTCGGTTAATGAGGGAATTATAAAAGTTTTATGTCAGTAAGAACCTCGGTCACAAATCCAAATTCAATTTTGCTAAAAGTTCGGACGAAACGGCAAAAGGTTCAGATGAATTTAATTTGAATGTTTCAGGGGCAACTTTTCCATACAGATGAGATGGACGTTTATTACGCCCCAAACATTCTTAATTTATCGATGTCTGTTCTAATACAACATTTCCTAGTTTGCGATCAGATTCTCACCTAATTATCTTTGTTTCAGGAGAATATATCTTTCGTGATACCTTGGATAATTGGTTTTATAACTTTCATGGCACTGGAAGCTGTCGCCATGGTCTACTCCAATGTGCTTAGAGATCACGTAAACAGAGTAAGTGAAAGATATTTTGTTTATTTTGTGTCATTTTTTAATCTGGAAAGATCCAAGTAACTTGTTTTAATTTGCATGCCAGAGAGTTTTATTGTCTGTCGTCAAAACGGATTTACTGTTAACATCTTGAGGAGTTTATCTCAATTAGTTGCCGGAATAGTTGAGCGATAAACACTTCTTCCAGTCAATTCATTAACCGAGTTGTAGGTTTTACTAAGAGAGGGTTTTCGAGAAGGTACAAACTTTGTTACAGGGTTATAATGCTTGTGCTTTTTTCAGCAATTTGACGCCTTGTGCAAAGCTGAAGTGGCATTTTTTATCTCGAGGACACTAATTAATGTAAGTTAATTTTAAGCTTAGATTTCTGTAGGGATTATGATACTATTTTGACTGTTTAAGTAGGATTTGCAAGAATCATGGTTCGTGAACACGCATGTAAAAGCTGTTCATTTTATATTCTCTAATATCATAACACAACTGGTTAAATATTTTGAACGCACTGAAACAGTAAGCAAAACACTACACAAATTGTGTTAACAGAAAAATAATCCAACTAATTAAAGGGAGAATCTGAATATTCCATCCGTTCATTTACATTCAGAATATAAATTAGAAATAATTTTATTTGCAGCTTTTAAGTTTAAATAGCATTGAGAAGTCCGAGTTATCAAGCTAATTGACACGCTCGGGGCTAATAGAGAGGGAAGAATTGCCTTAACCAAGCTTTCATTATTTTGATTTCAGAGTTTATTATATGACGCAAAAATGTCAAAAGATGCTCATAAATAACTAGTGAAACTTGTTTAGCAAACATGATTTTCATAATAACTGTATAAACTTTTTTTGTTCTGGGCAGCAACATTCCCATGTTATTATCCATGTTGATTTATTGAATTTTTATGTTTAACAAAATAAAATCTTGTTTTGCTTTTTGTGATCCTTATTTCTAATACGCCAGCTCTTACATTTTCTTATTTGCTTCATATCCAAAGCGAAAAACTTTAAAATGTAATTTTGTAAGAGAATGTCCCGCATCCCGCATGACTGAGACAAATCACTGATTTTCTTGAACTGACAATGTAAAAATTGCAAGCAATTTTCTATTTCCCAAAGAATGTTTAATAATCTTTTTATTGTTAAATACAATAGTTATCAAAATTTAATAAAGCTAACTTGCCGCTTTTACCTCAACATTGAAGAGTCATGAGAAGAAACAGTTGAGGTCACTTATTTCAAAACTCACAGTTTCACAAAGACACAGATAAGCTCTCTGAGAGAATAGAACTTTGAAATTAAACTTTATAATGCCGAATTGAATGCATATGCAGTTTTCTAAATATGCACTCTTAAACAATGACAAAAGATGTAGGAATCAACTGTCAAAATGAATAGATTTCTAAAATTCGTTAATTAATAATAAGTAATTACATTTGAAATTAGAACGAAATGAAATGAATGAAATTAGAGATGAGATTATATCTCTGAAATTAGCAGCAGCTACTCTTATTTTCCCTAAATTACAAGATACTAGACAATTGCAGGATAAAAAGGACAAATTAACGAAACAATTATTTTGTTTTTATCAAAGAAGAGTTAAGTACAATTTCGTCAAAACTTAATTAAGCGGTACTTAATTAAAGTCTACTTCAAGCTTTGTGACCAGAATTCTCGTCTTTAATTAAGAACTTGAAAAGCACTTTTTTAATGCTTATTTATTGTAGCTTTGAGCATTCTCATGAATCATAAAATAATTATTGTTCAATACGTTGCAATTACTAATTGCTCGTAGAATGATTAATTAGTGAATGCGTGCAAATTACCATCGGCCACATCGATGGCCGTCGTAACTATCGTTTATTGCGTTTCAGGTTGCGGCCATTGGAGGCGTGATGCGATTTTGCAATTTGCTCCGTGCCGGAATCACCTGGAAGGGCCCGGAAGTGATCGAGCTATGATGCAGGAATTCGTACACCGACGAAGACGGTCTTGGCTACGGTTACGATTCCGACAGCGACTGCTCGCTTTTGGTCGGAGTGTCATCTTCGTCGTCCAAATCACTGGGAAGCGACGGTTCAGAATTTGTCTGACATATCCGGTGCGCTAGGGGTTAATGGAATATGCGTGAATCGAGCCGAATTTCACATGAAGAAATTGAGATTAATGAAATTTAGTTACGATTTGCGAATTTCCGCTTCGAATAGTTGAATATTAAATACCAAAGGACTTTCAAGTTAGCGTAAGCATAGGATCATTTTTTATTGTGCCAACTATGTTAGAGTTTTGTTATGGGGGCTGTTGCAGGGTGCTTATTATTGTTGCTGAAGCACTCGTGTTATATTTATGAAAAAATTTTTGACTTGACACTTTTTCAAGTAGATTTTGCGTTTCTTAATGGGGTTTGAATGAACTGAAAAGTGTTGGGCAATATTTTCTACTCCACAACAGGGTGAAATTAATAATTGAAAAATAAGAAAAACACTGTTTACTTTGAGTTCATTACAACATAAGAGTTTTTTAGTAATAAAACAGAAAAATTTATCTTTTTATATATTTTTTATGATAAATAGCAATGGTTGCAAATATTTAGTAAKTTATTTATTTGTGTACTTAATAATGAAAACCAGTGATCTTAATAAGTAGACATCAATAAAGTAAAGTGCAACTTAGTCACATTTTTTTCAAACTTTTTTGAATTCTCCAATAAAAAAACATCTCGTAACATTTACCTAGTATACTTGTCTGTCGACTTCATAGGTTTTATCTATTATTTATCATTTTCTTTGTTTTTATTATCAAACAATTTTACAATTATTTCACTTGGTTTTGATTTTGATCTCATGATTAATGTTATCTAACTTAAAAGTGTAATGCTTTTGGGAGTTAGTTGATTGCAAATCTGATGGCTGCAATTTACATCATGTTTATGTACTTTAAGCATTAAGATGGTTTACTGCTCTACTAGTCTCTACAAACTAGTGACACTTTTACTTTGTTGTAGTTTGGTTACATAACTTGTAACTTGTAACAATTACGAATAATTGAATTGAAATGAAATTTTTGTGTAATTACGGAAACTTAATTTATTTACTCTTTATGAAACGGCAGTATTGACTTTTGTGGTAATTTTAATTTTGTGGTAATTTTTAAGCCGACAATAACGCTAACGTAGAACTGGCAACAATGGTTTAGATGGTTAACACCAATTTCTTTTGATTTGTGCAAACATGAAAAATTTATATTTTTATGTGAAGACATTGTGCAAGATTAAATATGATAATACCATGATTTAAGGTGAATTTGTAACAGTTTTGTGTAAATTTAAAATAAATATCTACAAAAATGTGCTTTAAATTTATTTCACCAATCTGCTTACTTGAGCAATTTACCTGACGAAGAAAATCCTTGGAATTTATGGTCGATTTTTCCGCTTGTTCACGATTCAGACAAACAAAACGCTTTGTCGTCGAAAAATTGATCATCGAATAGGATTTTTCACAATTACAGCAAAACACAGTAAGAATGATTTATATTCACACTTCCCGTTTTACCATTTTACACTGAAGTACACTCAAATAAAATCTTTTTTATGCCAAGCTGAGAAGAATTACGTCTCATTTACGTGCGTTTGGACAGCCTTAGGGTGAAATAAAATCCTACTTGGAATTTCATCCAATAAGAAGAATACGTGTGTAATGCGGAAAATTTATTTAAAAGGAGAATTTTCCAGATTAATCGTTCCAGTCCACCGCTTTGTGACAAATGAAGTGCAGAAGATTCGTTGTAATTTGTGGCTAAACCATGGAGTGTTGTGGGCCATAAATCAAGATGTGTAAGAGATTGAATTGCATTAACCTAACTTTAACTGGTTTTTGTAACAGGAATCTATTGTTACAAGGACTCTAAGAAATTTCTCTGGAGAACACGCCCATGATGTGCTCCACAATACACAATTTATTTCACTTGTAATATACTCAAAATATTCTCTCGGGAAAATTTCACGAAAAGTTGTAACAGTAATTTGTAGTTAGTACATGAAGAAAAATGCTTTATTTCAAACAATAAATAAAGGAAATTACAATAAAAAATAAAATTAAAATTAGTTTTTGGATAAAAATTAAGTTTCATAAAAGCTTTTATCCGGCTGAGATGTACATCAAGTACAGCAGAAAATACGCAACTTTTTATTGATCTAAACAAGAAGAAAAGAGCTTTTAGCCTTGTATATACCAATGTCAACAATGCTAAAAGCTCTCATTAAACTGCAGAGCACATATCCACTCCCAAACCTAAACTGTTAAATCTCCAATAAATCTTATTCGTGGAAAAAGAAATTAAGAACACTTAACTACGCCCTTGTATTGATTTTAAGCTTTCCTTCTTAATTACTGTTATTATTACCGTTACAGTGTTATCAACTTATCAGGTTTACAATAAAAAGTGTTGAGACAATAAAGGTTTTGTTTTTATTTTGCATCAGAAAATATATTCGATCAGAAAAGTACAAAGTTACATTTGTTAAATCACAATATTTTTGTTTCTTTAAATTTTAATTAAGTTTTTTCCTTAATCAGTCGTTTGTTTACTATTTTCACCCCGTCAAAACAATATTGACTTGTCTGGTTAGTCGCATTCCTCGCAACACTGGCTTGTGTACGGAAAAAAACATCTGATGTAGAATATTTTTTGTAAATTGCTGCTTCCGTGTACAAATAAAAACCCTCATTTCCAATAAAACACCCAATAAAAGATTCATCTGATCGCACCCTCGCTATCACAACAGTCACGTTCACTTAATAAAACCGAAAAACTGTCACAATATCGAGCACCTATCCAACAAACCACCCTAAATTAATTGAAATTCTTTCAGTTGTTTGCGACAACCAGTATAAATGTGGAAAAAGTAATTGCCGAGTTGGGAGTATGTATGCACATACTACGGCTTCGAGAAGCTCGTTTTAAAAAAGCAAAAATAAATAAGAGAAAACCTTTCAACACAGATGAATGCGGACTATTTCATGTGTCAACTGCGTACGTGAGAGACTTGGGGCTGGGGTGATCTTCTCCAAGACACAAAAGAGGGAGGAAGAATGTGACAGAATCTGGGCGCTTTTACCCCTAAACAAGAGACTTAAAATTACAAGTCAAACAAAAGATGACAAGGCACACAACATTGCGTACATTTAATTTTTGATTTTAGCTTTTGTGTAGATTTACGCTATTTCCTGTTATTTCTTTATACGACTTACAATTCAAGCAAGATCAAAAACGACGTCAATTCAGTATTCATAAACATTCACCTTCTTTCTTGAACATAGTATGTATCTCTAGGTCTCGATGCGACCTTAAATTTTATTTTTAAATTCAAAGCGTAAAACCTTAAAATTATATCAACTTCCTCTCAGGACACACATGACAAGCAGCAATTTCTTGAATACTTTGCGTGTAGTGTCTGCAAGAAAATTTATTACCATCTCCTCAGGCGGTCTTAAAATCAACATATCATTACAACAATTAAGTTCTTATCAGAGGCTCTTTTTAACGACTCAGCTACTTGGATGACAAATTCATTACACTTTAGTTAGATGAAACGAGAATTGGTTAATAAAAGGGTGAGATAAGTTTATATAAAAGTGAAAAAGTGAAAAAAAATATGATAATTTGGTTTCGAGTCTTCGCAAGTGACATATTTGCTAATTGCATTAATTTTTGTAGAAGCATGCACATTAAATCAGTCTCTGCTGAAACTTTAGCATCGCTTTTGAAAAGACTAACTTTATTCAAATGTTGTATTGGAATCGTGGCTTTTCTAAGTGAGTGTAGTTTTTAGTCAGTAATCCGGTTGCGATATTTCTCGAACTTTTTAGCGAGTACTGGTGCTCCGGGTGGTTTAACTAGAAACTTTTAACTTTTTGTAACAAAATTTTCACTGTTCGGAGATCACTCTTTCAACATATGTAGCGGTCCAAAGGTTGTGATTGGGGAGGAAATAATAATTTTGATGTAGGCTCAGCTACCGGAAGCTGGACTCTAATGTATCATTTAGGTATGTGTGCCCTTGTTAATTAAAGGTCGGCCAAATTGGAAAACTTGGCGAAATAGTTTACCAATCCAATTAGGAAGCATCAAATCGATTTCGGTGAGTGCCTGCCTATCCGTCAGTAGTTCTTGTTCACAAACGTAGGTCGTTAGCGATGGGTGAGCGGAATCACGCGTTGAAGCCTTCTGTAATAGTTGGGATGGCTTTGTTAACGTCCCGCCGGCAGCAACAATGTTCAATTTGGTGCCAGATTTCCTTAGCTGAGAGAATGTTATCGACGTCTGACACCGCACAATGCGTTTTTCCTCTCTTTAATACGTTGTCAGCACAAAAAGACCTTTTCGAAACTCGGACACAATGAAAAATCGAAATGTCTTATTCCCCAACGGGAATACATCGACAGACCCATTCCGGAGCTGTTTGGATTAGACACCCTCTTCACCAACAAAAACCGTCCTTGATCGTGGTGTAATTAATAGTTTAGATGTTAATAAGCGCGCTAAATCGGTGATTTAAATTCAAAACTGGGTTCGTAGAAGGCGAGTCGAACCTAATCTGGTTTTACTATTTCACTGATTTTGAAATAGACTCCAGAGAAACCTCTCAGCCAGGGTGTAATCTAATATTGATTTCAGTGTTGCTTGGCTAGACCATTAGGAGAATAAAAGACACTAATAATTTATCTTTTAACTAAGTCAAAGAGCATTTTCGCCAACTTGCAGCAACAAGTGACGAAATTGAGACACTATAGTGTTGCAATGACGTCATTTTGTACACTGGCGGACACGAAATTTTGGACGATTTGTCATTCGACTGACATAAAAATATAAAACGGGCCTTAGGCAACTAACCTCACTTTCGGTTTTTGTAATTTTTGTTCAGATAGCTAGAGAAAAAATGACAACAAAGGAAAATAATTTATTGAACTTATATAAAAACACGTATTGCTGGCATTATTGTTTCGGAAATTCGACTCCAAAAATAAATTTCAACAAAAAATTTCAAATTTTAGTTTCAAACGTCAATCATAATGACAATAAAGCGTGGCTTACATTTTTTGAATTTACATAAATTTGATGTCCAAAATTCCGTGTCCGCTAGTATATTAAAAAAAGATGAGTACTGTAATAAGTGATACTAATTTAACAGTGCAGACACAAGCACTTAATTTTCTATTATTGAAAATTGTTTAAATAATAAAATTGTTGAATACTTTGTGATTATATTGTAGTCATTTTTTACATATTGTTTCAATGTAATGCAGAGCCAATTTTACGTTAAATTAACTTTGTTAAGAGATAATTGTAGAGAGCGGCTTAGAGATTTAAGTGTAAATAAGCAGCTTCATTTTATTGTTTCACTACATCTTGCTGCATTAGTCATCAGATTTTGCAGGAACCCAATGTTCACTCGTATTACCCACAAAACAGTTGTCTCAAAACCGACACTAAAGATTAAATATAATATTAGGCTGTGTTTTAGTATGTTATCTCAGTTGGATCGATTTTGTATCAACTATCACAAAATAATAATTTCGTGATGTAATTAGTTTTTATGTTGCACATGAAATGTTGATACAAGAAACTTTGTAAGCTTCCTTTGAAGACTACAACCAATATCCTCGCATTTTTCATATGACAGATGGTTGAATTTCGGTAAACAACTTTCAGAGAATACTCCACCTTGAGGTCTGCGATTTTTGTCTTTGCTTTACGAGCCATAAAAATGAGTCACCTATTTAACACCGATCCAACTTTTTAATTAAGAACGTTGAAAAGCCCCAACGTAGTGGGTAATAAATGATTTTTTCACTAAAAAGGAATGTGCAATAAAAAATTAATGATGATTTTTTCTGAAAACTTTGTTCTTTAATTAAACAAAGTTCCTAGTGGAGAAAGGTTCGTATTTTATGCCCAGGTGCAAAAGAGTTTTCCATTTCCAGCGCAAAGTCGTTTAAATGTTTGCAATATTTCATCCTTACATACACTCAGGGTGTAGCGGTTGCAGGTAGTTTCCGGCTACACAGCCTCTTGCACTTCGCCCGAGTTTGATGCAAGTTCCAACAACTCTCTTCACGACCTGAAATCAATTAAGATTACATCGAAACTGCTCCATTCCTCAAAAGCGGGCCGTTTAGTTGACTATTTGCACCGTGCAAGCAAAGTTTACAATAGAGCTTTGGAAGTTTTAATTGAAATACAACTTGCCTGATAATCCATGTTACAAGACACTTCTTGCAGGAACTCTTCATCGTTTTCGACAGCTGGATGTTCATTGTCCAGCAAGATCTCCCTGGATTGCCCCATAATTCGCGTCACAATAAAAAACAATACTGTTATTCGTAAAATGACCAGTGCCATTGATTTAGTTCGCTTCAACCGAATTTTTGTAGATATATCTACTCTCGAAGAATCCCTCCAAGCGTTTATTGACGCACTGGAATCTTTCTCTGCATTTAGTTTTAATTAAATGAAGCTGTTGCTAGGGTTTTAACGGCCAGATATCGATAGTGTTCTTGCGTTTTCTTTGAAACCAGCGAGGCGGAAATAAGGATTTTGGTTGATGCAGAGATGATTGATGTTCGTTGGCATAGTTTGCACATGAAATACAGGATGATAAAGGAAGTGTTGCCTCGAATCCCACTGAAAGCAATTCCTTTACAGTATAGTCGTGTCGTGTAGCTGGAAACAGCCTTGACATTGAAGGTAATCAAGCGAAAGAACATTCTGTAATTTTAGTTACTGTCAAGGCATCCTTTGTCCCACATCGACGTGACATGGGAGATGTGAAACAAGAAAGTGGAAAAATTAACGAGAGAATGGCGTAAAAGAAAGGTCGCAATCCGAATGTGAAGACTTTTTCATTATATTTTTGATTACTTTTCTGGGGATCGATGTAAAACTTTTCTAACCATTTGATTCGATAATAATTTGTAACCCGTTGTTCATGGCCGGCACATCTGTTAGATATAAACGCGACATTGTTTGTAACTGCTTCCATTTAAACGTTGAAATGAATGTGATGTACGTTCTGTGCAATAAAACTACTTGAATATTGGAAAGTGGGTATCCATATATCACTACTGCACTTTCAAACACGCTAATTACGTTTTGGCGATTTGATATTCAAATGTTATTTGCAGAAATCATGAAACGCAATTAATTAATTTTTGAGTATTTATTTTAATGTATATCAATATTTGTGATTATTACATGAAATAAAATTTATGCACTTTAATAGCTTTATTACAATTAGATCTGAACAGAGCTTTTTTTTTAAGTTTTCACTACTAAATAGAATTTATCACAAATTTGAACTATAATTACCAGGTAAATTATTAGATTTTTTTATTAAGTTTAGAAAAAATATTTGCTGCTTTGTTCTTGGTCTACAAAAAATGTGTTATTTGTATTTTATGGCAAAGTGTTTTTCCCGCACGTTCGATGGAGTTTTATTTTCGACCGACAGACTCAATCAAAATCATTTTCACGTGAAATAAAAAACACTTACTTACTTGAAAAATAATTGCTTTATTTTTAATATATTCTGAAAACGTATATGAATATTTTCGTTCACTAATTAAATAAATTGTGGTTGTTGCGAAAACTTACCTAAATGTCTCTTATCTTTATTTGAATAAAGTTTTACTTTGAATCTTACAAAAGTTAAAATTTATTTCTTTAAACTTCGATGTAGTACACTGATAAGTAGGTACCTAATAAATTCCCTCAACTGTTTTGTTGCCACTGGCAAGCCAAAGTAATCCTGAAAATATCAGGTTTCTTTTAAATTGAATAAATTCGACTTGGAAGATGAACTGAAATAAAAGAAAACTCAACTTATTTAGAAAATACGAAGCTTTTGGTCTAAATTAAACGCTTCCATTTTATCATCAATGAATAATTTACTGTATACAAATGTAATTTTGTTCGAAGATCAAATTGAAGTGCTTTCAGCTTTTTTGCATTTTAAATTCAAAATATCATTAAATCAAATTATTTTTTAAGGATCGATGAAATTCTTAACGATTTTTTACAACGCTTCCAGCTTTTATTGTGTAAATCCACCAATGTCCAATAAATTTAACTTAAAGTTGCTCAAGTGAATAATACCGACCGAGTCTTGTAGTTGCATTCCTCCACTTTGTCGCACAATTGTTAGAACAATTAATGTTGTGTGCTTCAGATGTGTCTAAACGGGAGTCTAGTAGGAATGCTAGTGTGCTTCAGGCACCATCTAAGCGTTTCAAAGTTATCATTAATTAGATTGGAAGTTCTATGACTCGAGGCAATAATAGGGTTGATAAAACTAGAGATGGATCGATGTGGGTGACGCGTTTTAAGATCACTGAGTTTCCGATGATATGAATATCAATTAATCTTGCGTTTGTGTTGAACCGCACAACTTGCAGATTGATGAAGTTGAAAGGAAGTGCTTCTGTTTCAAGACGGCTCAATTGATTAGGAAATTGTTCATTAAAATAGGTGATTGCGATGCCTCCGGCTTCCGAAGATTATCTCGTTCCTGCTGATTGCCAAACCAAGTGAGAGGGATTTTTTATAACCGATACAATCATCGAAAAAAAGCAATAGAATACTGAAAAAGTTGCTAAGCCGTGCTTCGGTAAAAAATCCATCAGTAAATATAAAAAATTTAAACTCATTCTTTTTTAACTTTAATAAAACAGTTTTTACCAAATCCATTATGTACCTATAATGCAAGCTAAGTGCATTTTAATTTTTAAACTAAAGTTAAAAAAGTGTATACCTACCTATTTATGAAACAAAAAAAATCTGAAAGAAAATAAAATTTGTCTCGGTGATGACTTTAAAACAATAACCCAGGAATAACCCAGGATTGGATTTACAAGAGAAAAACATTTTTGAAACCAGCAAATCTGTAATTAAAACTTCATTATTCTAACTCAGTAGAAAGAAAAGTTCATTTTTCTCTTGATTTTGGACTAATTTGGAATAATTTTTTTCTGCTTTTTAAGGACTTTTAAGGATGTGATAGGACTCACATTGGCGGTTTTATTATTTTTATTATTTATTTACGCAAGTTAAACAACAAAAATGTTTGTGAATAACCTAACTTTAATAAACAGCAACTCAAAGAAACAGCTTTAAGGTAAAAACCAAAGTCATTTTTAACAAGAACTATCATTATTTAATTAATTAATTAATTGTCAAAGTGACATATAGTTGTCAAATAATTAAAACAGCCAATGTGATAAGACTTAAAAATCAGTCCAAAAGCAAGAGAAAAATGAACTTTTCTTTCTACTGAGTTAGAATAATGAAGTTTTAGTTACAGATTTGCTGGTTTCAAGTAAAGCAAAAACTTTTTTTCCTTTGCAGTTTTGGCGTAAAATCAAACATTTTTGTAAACTTCGGGGACATACTGTATAGTAATGCCTGTTCAACTAAACTAGTAAAAAAAGGAAAATTCTTATTAGCACTCTTTGTAGGGACAATCCTTAAATTACAGTGGTATCACTAAACTAACAAAGTGCTAACAAAGCCGACCAAAAACTGATGATTGCTTAACAGTGTAGTTCCGCCATCTGTTACATAACAGCCGAAGCAGTGGCCGAAGCTTCTATCATTTCCTTCTTTGTTAAATTCTCTCAGCTGTTGAACATCATAAAAATCTTTAAACAGCATCCAAAGAGAAGTCTGATGAGTTGGAAGTTTTAAAAAAAGATTTCTCATTTCAAGTGTTCCTCCCATTGTGTTTCGTAAACTTTCAGAAATCAATTATAAACACAAAAAACCGGTAAGTGTCATTGAGGTTAAGCTTGTTTTTCATTCAGGAAATTCATTTTGTTAAACTTAAATTATTTAATTGAATTGTGGGTGTTTGGTGCTGATGTGGAGCAAATATTAATTAGAAAACCACAAGTTCCAATACAACACGTCCACGTTTGTTTGAAAACGTTTTAAAGGGGGTTTTCTGACCTAAATTTCCAGAAATGATTGTGCGGGAGGCTGTAGTGTTGCTAGTTTTGGCTTTTGCTGCTTTGGCAAAGCCGAAATCAGAAGAGAAGAAGGATAGGGTGTTTGACCGGGAATTGAGTGATAAGGAACATTTTGAAAATGAGCATCACAACCCTCAGTATGACCACGAAGCGTTTTTGGGGGAAGAAGCGAAGACATTTGATCAGTTACCACCTGAAGAGAGCAAACGACGTTTGGGGTAATTTTCTTTAATTTGTTTCTAGAATTATGTACCTACATTGCTGTGACGTGTATGGCTGCTTATCAAGACTATTATCTAAAAGTAATAAAAAATTATTACTTTTTTGCAATTATTTTCAGACTGATCGTTGATAAAATCGACAATAACAAGGACGGATACATATCGAGAGAAGAACTCAAAGATTGGATTCGTTTTACTCAAAAGCGCTACATTACTGAAGATGTGGATCGTCAGTGGAAGCAACACAATCCAGAAAACGAAGAAACCATCCCATGGGAGCGTTACCAGAAGCTTGTTTATGGGTTTTTGGATAGTATGGACCCTTCAGAGGCGGAAAAAGATAGTGAAGGTTTTTCTTACAAACAAATGTTGAAGAGGGACAGGAGGAGATGGCAAGTGGCCGACCTTAATGGAGACGATGCTCTTACCAAAGAAGAATTTATGCATTTCTTGCATCCGGAAGAATCCGATCACATGAAAGATATCGTGGTTCAGGAAACTATGGAAGATATTGATAAAGACAACGATGGGAAAATATCACTAAAAGAGTATATCGGCGATATGTTTAAAGGGGACGAAAATGAGGAAGAGCCGGAATGGGTCAACAACGAAAGGGAACAATTTAACACATACCGTGACAAGGATGGCGACGGCTTTATGGATAATGAGGAAGTGAAAAATTGGATTCTCCCGCCTGATTTCGACCACGCCGAAGCCGAAGCCCGGCACTTGATCTTTGAAGCTGACTCAGACGCCGACGAACAATTAACAAAAGATGAAATTTTGAATAAATACGATTTGTTTGTAGGCTCGCAAGCAACCGATTTTGGTGAAGCATTGGCCCGACATGACGAATTTTAGTGCAATTTTTTTCAGGAGGGCTTCAAGGGCCAGTCATATCTGAAGTCTTCCAATTTTACCAAAAAATCTCAATAAAGATGCTGCTTTCTCTTATTTTAACTCTTATTACATGTATTAGTTTCTTTATCTCATGGATGAAGGAACGATTAAGTGTTCTTAATTTAGTGTGTATGTTTAATGTTAGTTTGTAATACTAAAATTTATTGTTTATGGAGATTATGTGTAGGTGTTGTATTTATGTGCCATTCCGTTGGCCAAAGCATTTACTAATTTAAGACAATTTCTTTAAGAATGAGGTCGTTAGCATCGTGTCTGGGCCTGTAGATACTTAATGCAATGAATCCTTGGTGCTCAGATTATTTTTATATTATACAAATTTCCCTCTATCAATAAATTATACATTTTATTTTATTGAGGTTTGTTTTTTGTTCCTGGTTCAAAAAATTGTTAACGAAAAGACAACATTTATTCAATAATAACTATTATATACAAGATCAAAAACGTACAAGAAAACAATGCAAAAATTGTATAATGCTCCCACATAAATAGCATAGATTACTAACTTATATAAAAATATATTAAACATAAACAGCATAAGATATGTATAAAAAGAAGCTTTCTGTCGTAAGAAACTACATCTACGAATAAATTTCATTATATCACATGACAAAATAAAAAACAATGTTTGGATTCCTTGGCGCGAAAAGGATCACCATATGTTACACAATCATACATAATAAGGAAGTCCTATGATTTTTTCTTTACAAATTATACAAGTGAATCACAAAAGTGTTTATTTCCTTATCTTTTTCAATATATACATAACCCTTTAAGGGTAGATAAACATGCATCTTGGAAATTATATGACACCTGAGTGATCTCAACAGGCCACAAATCAGTATACATATTTCAAAGAGAATACTCTCGCCAGTGTTGCACTATTAAATAATATTCATTTATAATTAATATGGCCATAATTTCGGAGCAATTGGCTGAGAGTAGTAAATTATGGCACCTTCCAAAGGTTAGCAACAGTAACTAAAACTAATAAAATAAGTCTAAACATGTCGTATACATTCATGATATCTTAACGTAGGTAATATTCGTTTTAGTGAGTATTGGCACTAAACTAAAATGGAGTCGCCACAAACAAGAGATTGACTAGAAGCTTATTTGGATGGAGAATTTTCGTGCCTTCGTGAAGGTGCCAGGGTCGTATACTATGCAAGAGTGATAAGAGAACACAACAGTAACACAATAATAAAACTAAATCCGCGTGTGTGTGTGTATTTCGTGTAGTTTTTGGCAAGTAGACTAGCACGTATGAGATTTTCCTCCGGAGCACTGCACTGCACTCTTATTCGAAGAGTTCCTTTTGACTCGGTGTCACTGATGCGGCAGAGGGGGCTCGAACGTCTCTGAGTCGGGGCTGCCGTACCCGCTGGATCCGTCATCCCGGTGGTTATTGGTGCTAATGGGCTGTCGCTGTGGGCCGCCCAGGACCATGTCCGAGTTCTTCTCGCTGTAACAGGATGGGCTCGTCAGAAGTCTACCTTCACCCAAACCGTTTAGATTGTCGCCCGCTGGCTGAAAGAAATCAACCAACCTGTACTCAAAAGTTTTCCGATATTCACTCCTCAAAATTCTATCTGTTATTTTTTAAGCATTGATCGGGGATTGCGTGAAAATGGAACAGTTTCACCGTTACCGCATCATAAAACGTTAAAAATAACACACTGTAAGCGATAAATGAGAATCATTAAATGGTGCGAGCAAATGGACTGAAGCAAAGTTTTCAGCAAAGTGGTTTGTTTGAAAGCTAAAAGCAACTGAATGAAGCTCTTAGCGTGATGGCCGCTTTTAAAATACAACAAATATTATTTTATGATCGTACAGACCATCAGCAAACAACTCGCGACCCTCTATGTGCGACGATAAATGGGAGGATTTAAGCACAAAAAATTATTTTACATCAGCCGCGGGACACTGTTTGAGTGTTATTTTTCTCAACGAGGACTAACAGCCCTGTTTCACCTCATTTGGTACATTTTCTGCTTAAAGGTATTGAAAAAATACTTAACAAATAAAGGTATCAGTTTAAAATTGCGTCCTATTAAATTACACTTTGGACATGTTTTCTCATTTTTTTGGACATTTTTCTTGGCTGATTGTTAATTAAATAAATGAAATGTTGTCGACTTTGGTTTTAAATAAATTAAATGTGCTATTTTAGCTGCAGATCGATACGAATCTATGACAGAAATGTCACGAATATTATAATTTTCACTAACAAAAACATAATAATTTTATATCGCAGAAATTAATTATAGAACCAGTCTCATTTGAAATATCAAATTAATTCGCTTTAAAATGGCATAATGAGCCCAGTTGAGTTCGTGTGACTTGAATTGCAAAAGAGTTCATAATGAAATTAATTATTTATTCAAGATTATATTGCCTATCAAGATTATACGCTATAATGCACAAACCTCATGAAACCATGAATGCACTTATTACAAAAGAGAGTTCGTTAAATAAAACAAGTGCGTGTGAAGTATTTGACCTAAGTTTCGACTTATGGAAAGAAATAAAAATGAAATTGTAAAAGTACAATTTTTAACATTGACCAGTACAAGATATAGTTTCGGAAAAATTTTGTTTACACATTTTTAACTCGGATTGGATAAGGATTTTAAGAAGTGGTTTTAAAGAAAAGTGTAGGATTTAGGATCAGTGACAAAGTCTATCACGTGTGGAAGGGGTCGTACCTGTAAGTTACTGACTTGCCTTCTGATATGGGCTAAGCTGCTAGGGTTGTAGGTCATATTGGCGAATACCAGTCGTTCTTCATAGTCATATTCGCACAATATCTTATTGTCACACAAGTAAAACCGGTCGCCTACGCAAAACCTAGAAAAAAATACAATTCGGATAATATCAGTTTCATCGAACTGTGCAAAACGTTCTATTTGCACCATTAAACAGTGAAATATTTAACATACCTGTGATTACATTGCTGACAAGCGAAACATTCTAAATGATAAACGTTGCTTTTTGCCCTCATTACCATTTCAAATGCTGGAATTACTTTGTTGCAAGCCGCGCAGTATCCCGTCGTACCAAATAGCCTAAAAGTAAACAGATTATCAACCGTGTTATTACGATACATTGTTAATTTACTAGCGATAGGCCACAAACACGAAAAGTTATGTCTGTTGTAATAAAATGTATACAAAGCAAACTAATCCGCCAAAAATTGTAATTATTTCGCTGTGATGGGGTTTTTCACCCTTCTATGGCCATGTGCGCCCAGTATCGAGCACTCTACGTAGCAACCATTAAAAAATTCAATTACTTAAGAACTCCAGTCTAATACTAAGGAGTAAATAAATTTGCTGTAATTGTAATTGTAGTTACTTCCTGGAGCTCGCCAAAGGTCAACTCAACATGTAGAATTAATTTAGTTTATAGACAGTAACATAGTAGGTCACCTGGAGTGTACGCGAAATTGGCTATAAAATGTTTTGTTGTGGTTTTCATATTTACACCAAATCGATTTGTTTGAATGGTAATTTGAAAGAGAAAACCGCAAAATGATTAGCAAAAGCAATTCGATCCAATATTTATAAGGTTCTTGTCGTGCTACACCAATTTCCTCGTGTAGATTGCTATAAAATTTATAGCTATAGCGTGCTATAAAAATTACATTACACCAAATTGACTTCGAATAAGATTCTACCACCACCATTGCCATCACGTTTCTATAACACATACATCCATTATTAATTTTTATCTGAACCAATCTACCCTCGGTGGCGGATTAATTACTGCTTTTGTGATTTTAATTTTGTATTGGCGACGCTGAAAAATTGTCTGCTTTTTGCAAAACGATTTGAGATCATCCACAAGGCAAGAATAATGAAAAGTGGAATTTTAGTTTTTGCAGGTAATTCGTATTCTCTTTCAAGATTCAGTCTAAAAAATGCTAATAAAAATAAATGCTTGAGTCTTAATTTTTTTCCAAAAATACACCTAATTTTATCGATTTCCATCTTGTTGCAAAATTTAATTCAATTTCAAATTAAATTATACAAAGTTTTATTTATTTTGGACTGAAACTGGCGTGTTTACTGCCTCGGGTTTTATTTGTTGATTGCTTTCTTCTGAAAAATAATTCTGTTTGGATACCAAGCATTTCTCACAAAGTTTACCTTTCTTATTTTAATATTGTGTTGTAAGCTATATATTTTTTTGAAATGAATTTTAATTTGTGTAAAGTACCTGAGGTAATCCCTTTTGCACAGTATGAGATTCGCCTTGGTATAGAGCGTGGACCCGACCTCGCCCAGCCTACAGTCGCAGCATCCGCACTTGAGACAGTCCTCGTGCCAATAGAGGTCCAATGCCTTGAGAAGGAACCTCTCCGTGATCCTTTTTCCGCATCCGGCGCATTCCCGGACTCCGGCACCTGTGGCGGTGCTGTTTGCGGCCGTTGATACAGACACCGGAACTGGTGTTGGGCCCGCCACCGCCACCGCCGCTCGCCCGTTCGCCGCTTGCTCCCCACCGGACTCTGGAACAAGATAATGACATTAGACTTTTTCGAATAAATATGGATTAGCCGTGACGGTAAATCAAACGTGTCGTCGAAGAAATCGTAATAAATGGCTGAAAGGCTCGATACGAACGGCTGCTGAGATAATTCCTGAGAGACAAGGTGAGCTCTTTATTTCAGTTATCCGCTTGTTAGGGTGTCACCGCGCGCCCGCCTGCAAAGTGCCGCTAATGGTTGCTGACAAATGGCCCTTGCGAGACTCCTCACTGGATAGGAGCGACTTCGCGCCGGATTCACACGTCGATGTCGGGCGAAAGGGATTTTTTAACTTTATTGTGATTTATTGGAGTCTGTCAGTTGCAATTATTTTAAAAAATAATTCATTTCTGATGAGGTGGATAATTCTTCGATTGTCAATTAGCAGCGTGGCAATTAAATCAGCGCGACTTATTTGAGTTGGCGTTAAATTGCAAGCATCGTCAATTACGCTGCTGGTTCTGTTGATATTTGGTTTTTGAAAAGCCACGTAAATCAATCGTTCAGATCAATGTTAATGAGGTGCGGGTTTTAGTTCGGCAGTCGGTGTTTACTCGTAGAGACGCAAATTGATAAACAGGAGTATCTGAGTGGAAGCGCAGATCACAATATGAGATTATTCCGCCTGGCGAATTACAATCGCCGATTTAATTAAACTAGTGTGTACCTACGCAGCAGTGTAATTGGCAAACGCCGCCACCTCTCTCCAAAGAGATGACTTTCATCACAACTTATACAGAAATGATGGAACGGACGATAATTATTTCCATCCGTATGCGGAGGCATTTTAATCAGTGCGAAACACCTGACAAAAATCGAA